AAAAAAAAAAAAAAAAGTGGAACTAAACCCAATGAAACCCAGAAAAAATAACATGTTGTATTATTTACCTATATGAAGTGGAAATACAGGGCAGAAATAAACTGTGTTATTTATGGATACATAGGCAACAGAATATTAAGAAAAGCAAAGACATGAATGCCATAAAAGTCAGGATAGTAGGGAGGAGGGAAGAGGTTAAGATGGGATTGGAGAGGGTTGTAGATTTCTGAAATGTTCTCTAGCTTGACTTGGGTAGCTACACAGGGGTTCCTTTTACTATAACATATTTATCTGCACATTTATGCTTTGAGTGCTTTTCTAGATATGTTCATATAAAAAATAAATGAAACAAAGGGAGAAAAGAAGTGAGATGACTTGCCCAAGATGACACAGCCAGCTAAGGGGCAGAACTGAGAAGGGAGGTGGATGTTCTGACCTCAAAGGCTGTGCTTGGTCCCAGCCCAAATAGCCCATCCAAGAGCTGCACCAAGACCTGCACCCAGCAGGCCTGGCTCCCTAGCCACACGTCCATCTCCCTCTCTGATTGCTCAGAATTGGGGACCTTCGGCAGCATCCCAGATGGAACCTAGACTCAACCCTTCCCCAGGCCTGGCGTTTGTCTCCCTTCCCAGGCTGTGAAGAACTCACAAGCATTAAAACAGGTACTGCCATCAAAGGCGCTTATCTCCTTTCTGCAAGTAGTACAGAGGAAATGCAGAAATCCCAGGAGTTAGCAATGCCAGGCGCGTCTGGGCATGCATGGTGCTGGCAGGTGGGCTCAGTCAGCCCCTGAAGGTTTTCTGGCAGAGCTGTTATTAGCCCGCGTCCCCTGGGAAAGAGGCTTAGCAGATCAGTCCTTCTTTGGCTGTTTTGTAACAGAGCCCCTGAGCCCTTCCTGGTGTGCTTAGTCTGGCACAGGCAGGCCACCTCTGACAGGAGTGGGCAGCATGCCTGCTGGAGATGGGACAGCCCAGCCATCCCTTTGAGAAGTGGGAGCAGGCCAGTGGTCGGGGAACCTCACAGCTGGTGGCCTGCCCAGCCCACCAAGGCGTGGCATCAGCTGGAGTGCCTCCCGTTTGGGCATTCATTCAGTCATTCAGCTACGGACTTGCAAATAAATGTTCTAGGGGATGGGGAGACAGCAGTGAGCTGGAGGGACAGGCCCTGGCCTCATGGTGCTCCCATGCTAGTAGAGGAGGCAGGGGACTCGCTGAGCAGACATGTGGCAGGTTAGAAAATGGTGGGTGCAGTGGGAACAGAGAAGGCAGGGAGGGGAACATGAGAGACAGGGGTTAGAGTCTGGTGACTTTTGAGTAGAAGGAAAGAAAGGGTGAATGACAGCATAGGTAGAGGTAGGGGGGAGTCTATGTCAGAAGAACAGCAAGAAGGCCAGTGTGGCCAGAGCAGAGTGTGCAAAGGGGAGGAGAGAGACCAGAGAATGAATGGCCTTGTCATCAGGGTAGGGCCGTTAGCACCTCATGGCATGGAACAGAGAAGTGGCAGAGCCTGGCCCAGCTTCTACCAGGATCCTTCTGGTTGCTATGTTGAGAATAGACCAAAGCCAGTTAGGAACTCCTTACACAACAGTGCAGGTGAGAGGTAAGGGTGGCCTGGCCCAACGGTAGTGCTGATAAAAAGTCATGAATTCTTGATTTATTTTGAAGGTAGAGCCAGTGGTATTCCCCTGCTGAGATGGATGAGACGTGTATGTGAATGAATGAGAGAATTTAAGGGTAATTCTGGGATGTTTTGACCTAAGCAGTGGGAAGCTAAGGGGTTAGCTATTGACTGAGATAGAAAGACTACGGGAAGTGCAGCTATTTGGAAGGAAGATACGGGCCTAGTTTGAGATACCTATTAGATGCTTAAGTTCAGACGTCAAGTAGCAGGTAGATATTTCAGCCTAGAGATCAGGAGAGAGGACAGGGCTAGAGAAAGATTTAGGTGGCCATCAGCACATAGGTGGGGTTTGAAGTCATGAGTCAGGTTGAGACAGCATAGAGTGGATGGAGGGACAGCAGAGGGGGTGAGAAAGAGAGCACAACCCAAGAGGGAGGAGAGCCAGAAGCCAGGATCCTTGAGCCAAGTGGAGGAATAAGGGCAGTGATCAACTACAGCAAGTGCTGCTGATAGATCAAACAGAGGGTGAAAGGTAGATAGTCCTTGGTTACTTGAGCAAAGGAGCTCGGGTAAAGTGCCTGATAAAAGTGGGAATGAGAAAGATGATGAAAGGGGAATTGGAGTGTCAGCACAGCCAAGTCTTTCAAGAATTTTGCTGTAAAGGGAAAGAGAAAAATAGGACAGCAGCCGGAGGAGGACGTTAGGTAAAGAGGAAGTTTGTTTATTTTTTTAAGTTGAAAGACAAAGCATCATTGCAAAAGATTGTTGGTGCAGGAGGAACAGGGATTTATTGCTGAAACACCAATATCTCTTATGGCTATAGATGCAAAAATCATCCACAAAATACTAACGTGCTGAATCCAAAGAGTTCTGCCCCATGACCAAATGAGATTTAACCCAAGAATGGAAGGGTGATTTAACGTCTGAAAATCAATGTAATATATTAACGAAATAAAGGACAAAACACATGATCATCTTAGTAGACTAGAAAAAAACATTTGATAAAATCCTGCACCTTTTCATGATTGCAACATTCCAGAACTAGGAATAGAAGGGAACGTAACCTGATAAAGG